AGGGGTGGAACAGGTGACCCTGTTGAGTGACATTCACGTATGTGGGGAAATGATGTTCTCAAGTACATTCCATGCTGGACTTGTCCAGGTTAGGATGGGAACAGTGGTCGTAATGCCTCCCAAATGTCTTGCCTCACTAAGGAATACTAGTGCGTGGCCATTGACTTTTAGCTAGGGATGTGTCGTTTCAACTTGGAAAAATGTCACTTGGCAAGCTTCTTAATACGCAATTAGGAACAGCCAGTACCAGCACTTCCAGATTCCCCTGAAAATTGTTTTGTATCTGACTGAAAACTCTTACTTAGCTCAGATGGAAAAAATCCGTTTGTTATTGTTGGAAGTCCAGGGTTCAGTGCTGCTCTTTGCCATCCAGGCTGTCAAATGCGGTTTGCTGGGGAGAGCCTGAGGACGCAGAGGCCCTGCGGTGAAAGACGGTTAGGGGAGAAACACCTGTGTCCTTGGAAGAAATAAATAAAAGTTCAGTCAGTAAACCACTCATGGGTGTCTGTCTCCACTTTGTTATATTATTAACTCTCTTTTTAAAAAAAGAGAGCATATTAAATAATGACGTCCATGTATTCACAAGATTAAGCAGCGATCGCTTAGCAGTTTGTCTTGTTTCCTGCCTCTTTCTTGGAAGTAAGTAAGTTAAAAAAGCTTAACCAGTGTACCTAAAAGATCCTGTCCCCGTTTCCTCCTTAGAGGTCATAATTTCCTCAGCTATGCATTCCTATATTCTTACTGTGTGTTTATTCGTTGCTTTTTTTTTTTAAAAGATTTATTTTATTTTTACTAGAAAGTCAGATATACAGAGAAGAGAGACAGAGAGGAAGATCTTCTGTCCTTTGGTTCACTCCCCAAGCAGCCTCAGTGGTTAGAGCTTAGCTGATCTGAAACCAGGAGCCCAGAGCTTCTTATGGGTTTCCCACAGGGGTGCAGGGTCCCAAGACTTTGGGCCGTCCTCTGCTGCTTTCCCAGGGCATAAGCAGAGAGCTGATTAGGAAGGAGGAAGCAGAGTGCCAGGATTAGAACCAACACCTGTGAGATCATGGCTCATGCAAGGCAAGGACTTTAGCCGCTAGGCTACTGCGCTAGACCCTATCCATTGCTTTTTAAAATTCTGTGTCCAGCTTCTGTGCAAGTAATAGGCATGCTTGTGCTGAAGACTAAAATTGCTTTTACTTTTCCCACTGTTTCCCACAATGTTGCAGTATTCTTGTGCAGAATATGGGAGCATTTCTCTCCTGCAGACCACCCAGAAGTAGTGTTGCTGGGGTCAACATTCTTATCTGCCCATTACCAAACTGCCTCCCCCCAAAGGAGTAGTAAGGAGGTGGTCTCCTGTAAGTGCCTGCCTCCCAACCTCTCTCTCCCAGACGTGTGCTTGGACATTTTAGCATCTGCTGCTGGGATAGGTGTGCTTGTTGCTCCCACTATTTCACTTTGCAGTTTTCTAATTGCTCAGTGAGATTTGTGTCTTCATTTCTATTGGCTTTTTACATTTTTTTTCCTGTAAAGTCTTGGCTCACATTATACTTCTACTGTCAAGGTTTTGTTGACTTTGATGGGTGAATTTGATGTGGTGTGTATACTTTGTAAGATTGATAGATTTATTTGTTTATTATAGATTTTTCTTCTTTTTGATCATTTTTGCATTGTTAAAAAGGATGCATGCTTATGTGAAATACTGAGCAAGTTGGGAAGGGTCCAGCAATGGGAAAAAGTAGATGAGACAACTGCTTCCAGTCCCTTCTGTTCTTCCTGTTTCTGCAGTACAGTGGCCTTGTCAGTGCACGTCCCCCGGAAGTCGTTCCTTATCTGCAACATACTCCCTAAGTGGTCCTGCCTCCCACACATCCGCTTACACCCGTCCTTCCCTGAGCAATCCACAGTCCCCCTGCCCAGGAGCCCATGGGTTCCTGAGCCACATCTTCCTGAGCCCAGTGTTCCAATGGGATGGCGTGCTGGTCTGGGTGTTGTGCTGCCCGTTCACCAGGGACCCAAGCTCATTCACTGGTGCCCAGATCTAGTCTTCAGGCACACATGCTGGCCGGGACCTTACCCATTCCTTCAGCCTGGGAGCGTGTGTGTGAGATGCCAGCCTGGCTCACCAGCAGGCCATGTCAACATGGGGCCTTTCCTATCCTCCTAGCCATGGAACTGAAACAAGTGCACAATCTTAGACCTGATCCAACAGAACCTGGTACGAGTCCCCTAGCTGGAGCCTGCAAGAAAGTGAAGCCACTGACAGAAAGATCTCCCATCCTCTGGTTCATTCCTCAAATAGCCACAGTGACTGGAACTGAGCTGATCTGAAATTAGGAGCTGGGAGATTCTTCTGGGTCTCCCCTGTGGGTGCAGGGTCCCAAGGCTTTGGACCTTTCTCTGCTGCTTTCAAGGCCACAAGCAGGGAGCTGGTTGGAAAGTGGAGCATCTGGGACATGAACGTGTCCCTAATGGTATCCTGGTTCTTGAAAGGGGAGGATTAGAGACCTGGAACGATGGCCCAGTGGCTAAAGTCCTCGCCTTGCAAGTGCTAGGATCCCATATGGGTACCAATTTGTGTTTCAGCTTCTCCACCTCCCATCCATCTCCCCACTTGTGACCTGGAAAAGCAGTAGAGAATGGCCCAAAGCCTTGGGACACTGTACCCTTGTGGGAGACTCAGAAGAATCTCCTGGCTCCTGGTTTTGAATTAGCTCAGCTCTGGTCATTGCAGCCGCTTGGAGAGTGAACCAGTGAATGGAAGATCTTTCTCTCTTATCTCTCCTGATGTAAATCTGCCTTTCTAGTAAAAATAAATCTTAAAAGAAGATTTAAGATTCAAGGTGGGGAGTGGGCAGCATGATAGCCTAGTGGCTGAATCTTTGTGTTGCATGCCTGGGATGCCAGATGGGTGCCAATTCTAATCCCAGTGGCTCCAGCTTCCCATCCAGCTCCCTGCCTCTGGCCTGAAAAAGCAGTCAAAGATAGCCCAAAACCTTGTTAGCCTGCACCCACATGGGAGACTCGGAAGAAGCTCCAAGCTTTAATTGGGCTCAGCACTTGGGGAGTGAATCATTAGATGGAAGATCTTCCTCTCTGTATATTTGACTTTACAATAAAAATAAGTAAATCTTTAAAAAAAAAAAAAGAAAGAAAGAAAAGAACTATCTCACATAGGTTTAGCTGTGACACAGAATTTGGCAAAACAACCTGGTTTAGATGCTTAAAGCTACTGCTTTTTCTTTTTAAGATTTATTTTATTTTTTATTGGAAAAGCATATATACAGAGAAGATGAGAGATAGAGATAGAAAGATCTTCTGTTCGTTGATTCACTCCCCAAGAGTCCACAATGGCCTGAGCTGCGCCAATCTGAAGCCAAGATCCAGGAGCTTCTTCTAGGTCTCCCACCCAGGTGCAGGGTCCCTTGGCCTTGGGCTGTCCTCAGCTGCTTTCCCAGGCCACAAGCAGGGAGCTGGATGGGAAGTGGGGCCACCAGGATAGGAGCTGACGCTCATATGGGATCCTAGCAAGTGCAAGGCAAGGACTTGTAGCCACTAGGCTACTGCGCCAGGACCAAAGCTACTTGTTTTAAAATGAAAGATGAAAGAGAAGGTTTTGATATTTGTTAAATTTCAGATAATGATATTGAGCATGTTAAGTACTGGGACAATACTATTTAAAAGCCATCATAATCTCAGAAGATAAGTATTGTATCTTTCACAGGTAATGAACTGAAGCTTGAGAGAAATTACATAACTTGCCTAAGGTCATCCACTGTGTAGGTAATAGAGCCTGTGTTCGTAGCCCATCTGCATACTGTTGAATCAAAGTGAGGAAATCGTAGCATTTACTGATCTGAAAAAATGCCAGGATTGGGACATAGTGTGCCGTAATAAGCAAAGAAAAACAGAAGACAGGTTCAGTTATACATCACAGCAATTCCTTTTTGTACATCTGCTTTCATAGAGTTTGTAGCCCTGCAAGGGCTGGTGCTAACCTGTTTAAAAAGGGAAATAGCTCATGTGCACTTGATGTTACGATAGGAGTTGTTTTAGTTGACAGTAGATTCATCTGATAAGCCAGGCCGTCTTGTTCAAATGTGTAACTTGAGCGAATGGTGGCGACTGTTCACACATTTAATTCTTGTGAGGTTGGGTGATGGGTGAGGTCTAAGTTGGTGTGTTCATTAGACTGTCAGACTGGCATTTTTATTGATTAAAGAAGCACTGAGACATTAGAATGTGGTTTGTGGGGTGGGCCTGCCTAGCTGTTAAGGTGCTCACAGTCACACGGCGGGGGCTCCGGCTCCTGACCGCAGCCTCCTGCTCACCCAGGGAGGCAGCCATGATGACTCAAGTAATTGATTTCTTCTTACCTGTGTAGCATTCCTGGGTTGGATTCCCCACAGTTTTGGCCTGGCCCATTCCTGGCTATTCAAAGCTTTTGAAGGGATGAGTCAATAGGCGGCAGCTTGCTGCCTTGCTCTGTCTTATATCTCTCAAATGAAATCTTGAAAAAGAAGGAAAGAAAAATATAACTCCTGAGTAATAACTAAAACTTTTTTTAAAGTTTTCAACAGTGTCATTCTAGAACTGCTAATTTGTATATTCTAGTGTATTATCGAGTTGTATATGACATTGTAAATAATAGAAATAATGACAAGCATGTGTGTGTCTCTTCAATATAAACATACCCTAGGTATTTACTATTTGGCTATTGTAGCATTATATTTTTGTAAAAAGATGTTTATATTCTCTTCCCTTAATGGACTTGATTAAGCAAAATCTTTGTGGTTATAGACATTTCTAGAAGTGTGAATCCTGGCGATTTGATGGTGTTTCCTTGGGAGTAGCTGTTTCTAAGGCACTGACTCATATGAATGTCAAGTTATGTACACAGTTAAGGATTTTAGGTGGCGGCTGTGAAGGAGAAATGGGCCTGAAAAAGCATGCAATGACTCTATGGTATTTATATTACATAATAGGTTTTTTTTTTTTTCTCTCTCTTCTTTCAGACTGGCCGAATTGACAAATCCTACCCTACAGTATGTGGCCACACAGGACCAGTGCTGGACATAGACTGGTGCCCACATAATGATCAAGTGATTGCCAGTGGGTCAGAGGACTGCACGGTTATGGTGAGTTCGCAGGGAAGCTTGGCAGGGCGCTTGCTGTATGCGCACAGCTCAGTGTGTATGTGTGTGAATGCATGTGTGTTTCCTCTTTACATGCAAATATATGCATGCTTATAGACCATTGACATCTGTTACACAGGAACACTTTTTAAAATATTTATTTTATTGGAAAGTCAGATTTACAGAGAGGAGAGACAGAAAGATTTGTCCACTGATTCACTCCCCAAGAAGCCTCGGTGGCCAAGCTGAGCTGATGTGAAGCCAGGAACCAGGAGCTTCTGGTTGTCCTGTGCAGATGCAGGGTCCCAAGGCTTTGAGGAACCCTCGACTGCTTTCCCAAGCCACAAGCAGCGAACTGGAAAGGAAGCGAGGCCACCAGGATGTGAACCAGTGGCCATATAGGATTCTGGCATGTGAAAGGTGAAGACTTTAGCCACCAGGTTACTGCACTGGGCCAGATAAATTTCAGGGAAAGTAAAATGACTCTCCAATGATTATGTGAATGTCACTTGTCTGTCTGATGCCATCTAACCCCCATAAGCAGTGAAAAAACTACTGACCTGAATTACGATACGATGAGGTAAGATGCTGAAGGGTTACAGATTGGAAGGGTTATGCAGTAAGCTATTAAGAGATAATAAAGAGTTTTAACAAGTGCTTATTTAATCCCAAACTAACATCAGAAAATGTATTCAGTGGACACTGGCTAGGAAAGTTCATGTCATGAAGTCACACAAGCAGAAGCTTGAAAATCAGGTTCTTTATTTTTCGCATTTAGATCCCCAGAGTAGATTTTGTATGAAAGTCGGCCTTGAGGAACTTTTTAAAAGTGAAACTTCTTATTCTTTGATTATATTTTTTTAATAAATATTTTTATTTTACTTGAAAGTCAGAGTTACAGGAGGGTGGGGAGAAACAGTGTGTGTGTGAGAGAGAGATGAGATCTTCTATCCACTATATCACTTTCCAAATGGCCACAATAGCCAGAGCTGGGCCAATCCAAAACTAAAAGCCAGGAGCTTCTTCTGGGTCTCCCACGTGGGTGTAGGGGCCTAAAGCGGGGTGCTGGGCTGAAGTGAAATAGCCAAGACTCAAATGTGGGTGCCCATGTGGGAATGTGGCACCATAGGTGAGGATTAACTGGCTATTGCACCGTGCTGGCCCCTTGATTATGATCTTTAGCTTTGAATCATGAATCATGATTATTGGTGTGGATCATTTTCTGATACTGGCCCAACATAATGTTGGAAAGCGTAGACGTAAGCACAGCGGGTACCGCTGCCCCTGGAATCAGGACAGATGAGCCTTTGTAAATCTGTGCAGTCTTGCACACCTCAGGTACAGTGCATGGAGAACTGCTCCTTCATTTTCCTGTCTGTGTCTATGGACTGAAACGTTGTTTGGTGTGCTTGATCAATTAAAATCTTTTTCATGAACACAAGCTAATTCCTCAACTGTGCCATTTAAATGTTTACCCACTTTGCCGCATGAGCTTTTGGCTGAGGATGGCTCCTCCTGTGCTCTCGTAATGTTGGCAGCCAAAGCATATTAAAGAAAAACACTGCTATTTGAAGGAACGATTCTGTTTCCTGGGCCTTGCTAAATTGGTCATTTCAGTGGCCGCAGACATATTTTGTTAAGCAAAAACAACATTATTTAGACCTGATGCAAACATGTTAAGCTGAAGTTCGCTCTTGGTCTCTTTTTGTGGAAGCACGTTTGATTTTTTTTCTTCCTCACCTGTCATCAGCCTTGCGGGTCATGGTACTCTCTAAAACTATTTTTTATTAGAAAACACAAAATCATGAGTTAAAGGTTTATTTTATTTACTTGAGAAGCAGAGTTATAGTGAGAGAGAATCTTTTGTCCACGGGCTCATTCCCCAGATGCCTTCAGCAGCTCCTCCTGGGTCTGTCACGTGGATGTAGGGGCCCAGACTGTTGGGTCATCTGCTGCCACTTTCCCAAGCACGTTAGCAGAGAGCTGGACTGGAAGCGCCCTGTCTCTCAACTTTTATGATGTTCATTTCCTTGCCTTTGTTTATGGTGATGTGCGTATAAATGTGCCTCTCTTGACACAGTGTTTTATAGCTTCCTTGTCTGTCTGTCCTGGACTTTCCCTTCCAACATGCCTGTTGAAGTGTGCTGACCTTTGCCCTGGCCTCGAAGCTGTCTGGGTTGTGCTGTCTGTGCCTTTCTGGTGCATTTCTGTCCTCTGAATTGGCCACACGCTGGCAGCTGCATCTGAAGTGCAACCAGATTTCGTTTCCGTACTTTTGGCATGTTATCTGCTGATAGCTCTTTAATTCTGTTTTTATCTTTTACCTGGTGAAATGTGTGAGGGCCATTTGGGTGGATCTTTAACATCCTCAGAAGATAACCAGTTGGGTTTTTTCTTCTTTATTTTTTAAATAAAAATTTTGGTGTATTTCTTCATGTTTCTTGTTTGTTTGTTTGTTTGTTTGGAAAACAGAATTGGAGATATAGAAATATCTTCCATATGCTGGCTCACTCCACAAATGGCAGCAGTATTGGGTGCTGGATTCCATCCAGGTGTGCCATGTATGATGGCAGTGCCCAAGCGCTGGGGCCATCTTCTGCCTTCCTAGGGGCATTAACAGGGAGCTGGATAAAAAAACGGAGCAGCTGGGACTTGAACCAGTGCTCCTATGGGATGCTGGCCTTACAGCCTGCCACTTAACCCAGTGCTTGCCCGTGTGAACCTCTCAGAGGTTCTTGAGTCCTTTGGAGATGAGCCCTGCAGTATTTACAGCCTCCTTGCTGTCTGACACGTTCAAAGGCTTCATACTCATCTTGCATCTCTACATCCAGGCTTGAGCCAGTCACTTCTTTCAGAGTTCTGGTTTCTCTGGCTGCAAAAATGGTACTTCTAAGATCATAGTTTAGGTACTAGGTAAATCATCATTACCATGGAAATCATTATTACGCAGTTTTTGCCTTTTTTTTTTTTTTCATTGCATTTGAAAGACAGAGAGACATAGATGGTTGGAGAAAGGTTTTCAGTCTGCTGGTTTGTTCTCCAAACGCCTGTGATAGCCTGGGCTGGAACAGCCAGGCTGGCCCGGGAGTCAGAACTCAAGCCACATTTCCCCCTTGAGTGGTGGGGACTCAGACACTGAGCCATCCTCTGCTGTCTCCAAGGGCAGGGATCCAGAGAGGACTAGCTGGACTCAAACACAGCACTCTGATATGTAATGTGAACATCTCGAATGGTCACCTAACCACTGGGCCACGTAGTGGATTAGCTATCTCCCATCTGCTAGTCCACTTCTCAATGGCTGCAAATAGCTGGGGCTCGACCGTGCTGAAACCAGGAGTTGGGCACTCTGTTCTGGTCTTCACATGGGTGGCAGGGACTTCAGTATTTGTGCCACCATCCACTGCTTCTCATTTACATTGGCAAGGAGCTGCATCAGAAGCAGGGCAGCCAGAACTCACATTAGTCCTCTGTCATGGGATGTAGTTATCCTGAGTGGCAGCTTCACTTGCTGTGCCTTAACATCCATTTCCTCATCAAGTAAACAGGACTAGAAGATGCGTGTGTGTTTAAAGACAGAGTACCTCATGTCCTGTCCTTCAGCACTGTGGGATGGTTGTAGGCCATGTTCATGTTCGTCTCTCTTCTTGTAGCATGGATGAAAATATTCCCACCCATCTCACTGGATTATCACAGCACATGAGGGTACTTCAAACAAATTGATGTGAGGGCCCAGTGTGGTAGCCTAGTGGCTGAAGTCCTCGCCTTGCATCCACTTGGATCTCATATGTGTGCTGGTTCAAGTTCTGGCTGCTCTATTTCCCTTCCAGCTCCCTGCTTGTGGCCTGGGAAAGCAGTTGAGGACAGCCCAAACCCTTAGAACCCTGTACTGGTATGGGAGACCCAGACGAAGCTCCTGGCTTTAGGTCAGCGCAGCTCTGGCTATTGCAGCCACTTGGGAATTGAACCAGTGGACGGAAGATCTTTCTGTATTTCCTTTTCTCTGTGTATCTGCCTTTCCAATAAAAATAAATAAATTTTAAGAAAAAAAAGGTTGACAGGAAACAGTAACATAAAAAATATTTTTTTATTTAAAAAAAATTTTTTTGCTCCAAAATATATTTGTCTTTTTATTCTATTCTCTATAGATGTTTTCAAGTGTTCTTGCCCATACAATAGCCTCTGAGTGAAAATATGCATTCTTTGACTTTATGGGAAGTACTTAGTTTTGTAGAAATAACATCACTGGGTTTTGTTATTTGCCCCAAGTTTTTAGGGAAGGGCTTGGAGAAATCCTAAAGCTGTGCTGCCCAGGAGACTGCCGCCTTCTCAAAATCCTCAAATATTGCTCTTTTATTGGTATTGCTGGAGTGAACATTTGGTAAATTAAAGCATATTTTGGGATAAATTCTTATTTAAAAAAAAAACAGCTTTGTGTATAGAGCTGGACATTATCGCTTTAGTCACTGAATGTCTCCCAAATCATATGTTGTTGTTAGGGTAATTGAAGCTTTTATAGCTTAGCAGTTGAAATGAAATTTTAAAGAAATACTTGATCTTCTCCTGTCCTCCCTGTTTCTTAATACCTTATTTTCCACTTTGCCCTCTTGAAGGTTGTAAAAGAACACTGCGCGCCAGATCAAGTGGTTTCCAACAACACTTGGTTGTTAACAGAAACGCTCTCTGTCGCTTCTCAAGTTGGGGCACTTGGTGGTAACTCGGGACCTCAGGGGGCAGTTACTGTCACCAGGCCTAGTTCCAGTAAAGGAAAGATGCCAGGAAGAGCCTGAGACTCAAGTCCTTACATGGGAAACCGAGATGTGATCCCCACAGTGCCAACTGAGCGGGTCGGAGTGCGTCTGCCTGTGTGTGAGGAGTCCTGGCGTGGGCCGAGTGCCACACGAGTACCTTCACAGACATCTGGTCGGGAGTGACAGTTGAGCCAAATTCAGCAAATCAATCGTGAGAAAGGATGACATTAACTTGAGAAACTGCTTTTTGAATGA